AGCAATAGTAGTAGTAGCAGTAGTAGTAGTAGTAGTAGTAGTAATACTAGCTATATTCGTAGCAGTAGTAGTAGTAGTAGTAGTAGTAGTAGTAGCAGAAGTAGTAGTAGTAGTAGTAGTAGTAGTACTAGCTATATTCGTAGCAGTAGTAGTAGTTGTAGTAGTCGTCGTCGTCGTCGCCGTTGTCGTGGCAGTAGTAGAGCAGTAGTAGTAGTATTAGTAGTAGTAGTAGTAGTAGTAGTAGTAGTAGTAGCAGTAGTAGCAGTAGTAGTAGTAGTAGTAGTAGTAGCAGTAGTAGTAGTAGTAGTAGTAGTAGTAGTAGAGCAGCGGCAGCACACAACCATAGAGGCAATGACGACTAACCACAGTGAGTATAAACATAGCAGTCATACCAGTTACCATTGTCGTAGGAACCTATGCGGCACAAAATGGGCTAAACATAATATTCCAGTACCGAGGAAAATCCCAAAACCCAGACTGCAAACAGTAACACATTGTAAAACTAGCAACAACAGTATTAATCAACATAAATCATCATCATTCCCATCATCATCATCATAAATACAGAGATACCTTTACCAGAGATACTGTTAATAAGACTAACAACAACAATGACAATAATCATCGTAATCATAATGGTCATAACTATAATCACAATCATAATAATAATAATTATTATTAGAATAGTAATCATAATCATAATGGTAATTCTCATGATGATAATAATAATACTAGTAATAATCAAAGAAAATAGTCATAATCATAATAGTAAGAAGAATAATGATGATAATGATGATGAGCACATGACAGTAATAATTATCTTAATGATAATACCAATAGTCATAACAATAATACTAATAGTCACGAGACATAACAGGTCACAATAATGGTGTACTTCTATAGAAACAAAAACTGCAAGACATGAGCAAGACATGAGCATGCTCTGCGGCCTCCCGCCGCTTCTCCTCACGTCTTCGAGTCAGGTCGTCTTGGTCACTACGACTTCGGCTTCTGCTCCGACTGCAGCTCCGGGCCCTAACGTCTGACACGTTGCGTGTCTTGGGTTTAAGGTTCAGGGTGTAGGAAACCCTAAACCCTAAATCCGAAATTCAGAGTCGAGGGTTTAGGGTTCAGGGAAGGATCCTGGCTTTAGGGTGCAAGGTCCAGGGTGTCTACGGAGTCAACGGGTTCCGTGTGCAGAAGCCTGATCTGCAGCAGGGGCCATTGTCGCAAGTCGACACGTGGACAGATACGGAAACACTAATAACCGACTTCAAATTATTCGTCTGCGTATCTTTACTGATAAATGTAGTGTTCGCTTGTATAGCGGGTGTGAATGGACGCTCCCGAGGATTGGTCTTACGGCTGGGAGAGCGTGAAGCTTGTGGTGCACAGTAGTGATAGTATGCAGCGACACCGGTGCCAACAAATGGAAGCATCCATCAAGATTCACTGCGGTGCAAGGATGATGCTCGCAAGACGTCTCTTGCCGGAGTAGTAGGGAATGGGGGAATGGATCCCTATGATAGTCCCTTAAGGTCCCTTATAGTAGTCCCTATAACCCATTCCCCCATTCCCTACTAAGCACCAGACAGAGAGAGCATGGCCTTGGCGGTGGGCGGCGGCCCCCGCCACCGCGCCGCTCGGGACTCAGCGAAGGCAGGGCGACGCCACGCTCCCATTTGCCTTGGCGGAGACAGCTCTAGGGTCTTAGGGTTTTTAGGGCGATATGGGGCTGCTTTAAAAGGCGTAGCCTTTATTGTGTTTTCGCGTTTAGGCTTTGGGGGTGTCTATTGGTTCACCAGCCAACCCATTAGCCAAATATTTCTCAACCGCTCCTATACCCCCTCCCCCCAACCCCTACATCTGCACTGCCACAACCACTTCGGATGTTGCGCCCAGTTCTTCTCTTCCTCAACCGTAAAACATAAACCCTGAAACCTGTAAACCCGAAGCCAAGCCAAGAGGCCATCGAGCATGTCGCGGAGGTACTGCCGCGAGCCCGCATCGTGCCGCCGCCCGTCGTCGTCCCCGTCTTTGCCATCTTTGCCGTCTTTCCCCTTGCCTTTGCCTCGGTTCCGACGGGGAGGGGCCTTGTGAACCCGTGCTGGTAAAGGAGTCCTGAAGCCAAGGAAACGCTGAAGCTGGAAGCCTTTAAACCCGCAGCCGAACACCTGTGAGTGCCAAGTCCCTAGCTTGTGGGGTGGTGGGCGTTAGAGCTAAAGGCTTTAGGGTTTTAGGGTTTGGGGTTTCTAGATCCCTGAACTCTAAACCCTCGACCCTAAACCCTCACTCCTAAAATTTAAAACGCTGAACCCTAAACCCTAAAACCCTGAACCCTCAACCCTAAAACCCTAAACCCTATAAACCCTAAAACCCTCAACCCTAAACCCTCAAACCCTCAACCCTAAACCCTTCAACCCTAAACCCTCAAACCCTCAAACCCTCAAACCCCTTCAGGGCTACTGCTTTTGAATCCGAGGGCCGCCTCCCTTCGGCTTCTCTCCGGCAGGCGCCACCTTCAGCTTCCGGCCCTGGCGGAGGGTGGGGGGCAAACCCAAAAGCCCAAAATCTGAGGTTAGAAGTATGGGCCCCTAATATGGACCCTTAGGCCTTTCTAGGGACCCTTACGGGTACATATAGGGTATATAGTAAGTGTTGGGGCCTGAACAGTTCGAATTGGGTTTTTAGGGTTTTAGGGTTCAGGGTCTCGGGTTCCTTTAAAGGGTTCCTTAAAGGGGATACTCTAAGGGATACTACAAGGGTTCTAGAATGTAGGGGCCTGAGAAGTAGTTAGAATAGGGTTTGGGGGCATATTAAACTAGAACTATGATAAGGAACCCCCAAATAGTAGAGGTAATTATTTAGGCCCCTATAATAGGCATTCGTTTCGGGGCTTCGAGCGTAGGGTTTGGGGTTTGGTGTTCATGGTGTGGGTCTTCGGGTTCAGGGTTTGGGGTTTGGGGGTCAGTTTTTGCGGCTTTTGGGTTTAGGGTTCAAGGCATGGGGTTTAGATGGGCTTTAGGGCAAGAAACTCCAGGCGCTAGTCCCAGAACCTATTACTAAACCGTAAACCGTACCCCGAAGCACCGATCCCTACACCTTCATGGTACCACGAAGCACACAAGCCCCTGAGCCCTAAACGACTCTTGGGGTGCAGGGCCATAAGGCTCTATAAGGTCTTTCGGCCTACCCTCACCGCAAAAGGCCTGTAGCCCCGAATACAAAAACACCTTGAGCACTAACCCCCGAAACAAAAATCAGGCCGGCAGCCCGTAAAGAGAACCCTGATGCCACCTCTTTTTAGATACCGCGACGAAGCCCTGTCAACACCCTAGAAACCCTTACCGACCCATCACCCAAACCGTCGATATAAACTATATAAGCCATACAATCTTCTGGTTATCAACCCTGTAGAACTCTCATAGAAGACTACACACTTAAAACCCAAAACCCCCACCCCCACAAAAGAGTGCGATTTAGAACTAAAGCTAAACCTTACAGTAAAGCCCAAAAATGCCATAAACTATAAAGCCAGAAACCTCTAAACCCAAAACCCTCGACTCAAAACCCGAAACCCTGAAAACCCCCGAACCAAAACCTTGAAACCCTAAACCCAAACCCTACGCAAAACCCCCCAAACCCGAAACCCTAAACCCTTTATAGAACCCTTAGGGAACCTGAGGCTAAACCCCAAAAGCCCTAAGAGGCCTTGAACATCCAAACCCCAAACTCACCCAAAACCCTAAACCGCAAACAAGAAGACCCTAAACCCCTACAGCCCTCAACCCCAAAATTCCTAAACAGGCCTTGAACATTCAAACCCCAACCCCCCGCAATAAAACACCTTAAACCCAAACACCCTAAGAGGCCTTGAAGATTCAGACCCCAACCCGTCCCCCCCCC